ATTTACGAGAGATTTTTATTCTAGGGCACGTGCACTACTGGAGACACAGAAAGTGAGAAATCACTCTCTGGGAGGATGACCACACCATAATTCCTTCACCTCCCTTCTCCTCCTGGGATTTTGGGCATGCACACACATGTGCCCAGCCTGAGTTCCAGCTTCCAGGTCCAGGATTTGAACTATAATTGACCATGTGGGAGCCCAGTGCCTTAACCACTACACCACCTGCTGGCTCCCATAACTTTTTTTTTTTTTAATTTAGAAAAAATATATATTTTTTGTCTTTTTTTTCCATAGGGCAAATGCACTCACCAGAGAGACAGTGAGAGAAAAGATGAGAAATCACCCCCCAGGGGGATGGCTACACGGCAATCCTTTATCCTCTGTTTTCCTCTTGGGATTTTGGGCACACAAGTGCACATGCCGGGTGTAATTTTAAAGCCGCCAATATGAGTCTCAAACCACAGCCATGTGAGTGTCCAGTGCCTTCACCACACCACCTGCTGACGCCAATTTAAGAATTTTATGAGACTCTTGTTTCCTTTTATCTACTTTTGTGATGTAGTATATTCATGGATGTCTCCTTTTCTTTCTTTCTTTTTTTTTTTTTTCTTTTGCCATAGAGTGTATGCGCTTGCCAGGGAGAGAGAGAGAAAGACAGGAAAAGTGAGAAATTCCACCTAACCCCCAACAGGGAAGATGGTCATGCCACAATCCTCTCTCCTCCAAACTCTTCCTGGGATTTTGGATATGTATGTACACGCAGCTGGTGTTTTTTTCAGGCTGGAAGGTCCAGGACTTGAACTGTGGAGTCAGCCATGTGGGATCCAGCATCTTACCCTTCATGTCACCTGCTGACCCAGTGGACATCTTTTATGAGGCTGTCATCACCTTCTAGGAGCAATATCACAATATGCATCATGAGTTCTAGAGTCAGGTGGACCTGGGCCACCATTCCAGTCCATCACTTACTAACTGGGATCATTGGCAAGTTCTGAGTGAGGATGCACAATTATGATACGTTATTCCTTTACTATAGTGGTGAGTTTCTTAATGACTTAGAACTGTTGCATCTATATAATTGAGATTGCTGTGAAGTGTGGGGGTGTGTTTACAAAAATGAATTATGCTGGATTTCTTATTTTCCTATGCTCTGCAACAGTCAAAATGGCACGGGATAATCAGCAGCACTATTCACAATAGCCAAGAGATGGAAGCAACCCAAGTGTCCAGTGGTGGGTGAGTGAATGAAGAATATGTGAAACATACATAAAAGAGAATACTATTCAGCCTTAAAAAGGAAGGAAATCCTGTCACATGTTACCACACAGATGAACCTTGAGGCCATTACACTAAGCAAAGTAAGCCAGTCACAAAAAGACAACAATAAATTTATATGAGGCGTCTAAAGAAACCAAATTCAGAGATTTGGAAAGTAGTATGGTGGTTACCAAGAGCTAGGGGAAGGGAAAAAGGGGAGTTTCTGTTTAAAGGATATAGACTTTCAGTTCTGCAAGATGAAAAATTTGAGAGATCTGTTTCACAACAATTGTATATACTTAACAGTATTTTAAAAAATATTATTTTATTCAACTTTATTTATTTTATTTATTTTAATTTGACCAGAGACAGAGTAAGAGAGAGAAGGAGAGAGGGAAAGTGATAAAGTAAGCCTCCAGGTCCAGAACTCGAACCATAGTTGGCCATGTAGGAGTCCAACACCTCTAACCACCATGCCACCTGCTGGCTTGTGTACTTAACGCTATTGAACTGTACACTTAAAAATGCTTACATTCAGAGTTGGTCCTATAGCCTAATGGTTAAGGGAGCTGGATCTTTCATGATCAACTGAGGCTTGAATCCTGGCCCCAGTGGCTTAAAAAACATGCCAGGTATGTGTATGCATGTGCCCCAAATCACGAGATAGAGAGAAATGGAGTAGGAATTGTGGTGTGGTCACACTCCATTGGGGGATGCTTTCCCCCATTTCTCTCACTGGTGAGTGCATGCATCCTCTGGAAAAAACAAATACATTTTAGAAAAATTATTACATTGCTGAATTTTTTTTTGGAGAGGTTTTAGCTATAGGGCGCGTGTGCTCGCCAGACAGACAGAGAGAGGTAGAAAGAAAGAAAGCAAGAAATCACTCCCCAGGGGGGATGGCCACACCACAATCCCTTCTCCTCCATTCTCCTCTCGGGATCTTGGGCACGCACGCACACACGCCCGGCGTGAGTTTAAACCACCAGGTCCAGGACTTGAACTGCAGTTGACTACATGGGAGTCCAGCGACATAGCCATTATGCTAACTGCTGGTCTCTACATTGCTAAATTTTATGTTTAAATTTAAAAAATTGTTTTAGTTTAAAATTTGTTTTTTTACCATAATAAAAAAAATGACATGAGAATTATAACTGTTCTTTGAAACACTGAAAGAACTCGGTCACAAAACGTGGAGATAATACAATCACACTTGTTTTTTTCTCTTTTTTTGGAGAGGTTTTTGCTATAGGGCACGTGCACTCGCCAGAAAGACAGAGACAGAAAGTGAGAAATCACCCCCCAGGGGGGATGGCCATGCCGCAATCCCTTCTTCTCCATTCTCCTCTTGGGATCTTGGGCACGCATGCACACGCGCCCGGCGTGAGTTCAAGCCACCGGGTCCGGGACTCGAACCGCGGTCGACTACATGGGAGTCCAGTGACATAACCTTTACGCTAACTGCTGGTTCCAATACTGCCACGCTTTTAACATTTTTAAAATTAATCATTGGCCTTTGAATTTTTCTACTTTGTAAGATCATTTTAATTTTATTTACATTATATATATATATATATATAAAATATGAGCCTTGGGACCAGCAGTTGGTGTAATGGCTATATCACTGATTTCTCTGCTTTCCGTCTCTGTCTCACTCTGTCTTTCTGGCACACGCACGCACCCTATAGCAAAAACCTCTCCAAAAAAAAAAAAAGAAAATTCATGGGCCTAGTAACTTTAGTATTTTTTTTTTTAATCCTCTTGCTTATTTCCTTTTTAAAAAATAATTATTATTTTATTTAACTTTTATTTATTCATTTATTTTTAACTTGACCAGAGAGGGACCAAGAGAGAGGGAAAGTGAGGTCTGAGACTCCAAACTGAACTGAACCGAACCGAACCGAACCATGGTAGACCATGTGGAAGTCCAGCATTCTTAACCACCACACCACCTGCTGGCACCACTTGCTCATTTCTAACTTACATAATTTTCATTTTCCTCTTTGGCTACTTTTATTGCTTTTTCAAATAATTACATTATGAATTCATCTACTTATTCTATTTTTGAATGCATTAATATCTGCTTTAATATTGCTTTGCTAGTATGATTGATTGATCGATAGATTTATTGCCAGAAGGCACATGACAGAGAGAGAAAAACCCCTTAACAGGGGTCACACCACAATCCTTTTTCCTCCATTCTTCCTTCCCGTCAGGATTTTGGGTACATGCATACATGTGCCCAGTATATTTTTCAGGCTGTGGCATCTGGATTCAACCTGTGCCAGCCATGTGGGATCCACCTCCCTTAATCACTGAGCTATCAAATCGACCCTCTTAATATGTTTTCTCAATTACTTTTTCTACTACGAGTCCAACGTTTAGTTCAAATGCTGGAATCTTGGGAGTTAAGAACCCAAGAGAAGAAAAAGGCTACAGACACTTGGCTTTTCAGGGGAAAGGTTCAAAGACCACTAACCTAAGCAATGAAGACTGAACATATTCAGAACATAAAATTTTTAAATGAGGGGCTGGCAGGTGGCTTGGTGGTTAAGGCCACTGGATTCCCACATGGCTGACCGCAGTTTGGGTACCGAATCTGGTGGCTTGCTTTCTCGCTTTCTCTCTCTCGTTCTGTCCCACTCTGATCAAACTGAAATAAATAAATAAATGGATAAATACAGTTAAATAAAATAATTATTTAAAAAATTTTAAGTGAACCAAAACTTTATACAGTCACAGATTTTAAAGAATTATTTAACTTTATTTATTTTAATTTGACCAGAGAGGAACAGAGAGAGAGAGAAAAAGTGAGAAAGCCAGCTGCCAGGTCCGGGACTCAAACCATGATAATCTACGTGGGAGTCCAGCACCCTTAACCACCATACCACCTGCTGGCCCCTACAGTCACAGATTTTTATTCTCACAGAATACTGATATAAAAGGAAATCATGCTCCTGTCAAAGGTATTTACTCTCCTGCCCTCACTGAGGTGTTACAAATTACACCATTCATTCTAGGCCACCTTAGAAAGAAAAATGCAGGGTCAGCCAGGGTGGTGTGGTGGTTGAGGCAGCTCCATCCCACATGGCCACCTGCACAGTTAGAGTCCTGGATCTGATGGCTTGAAAAATATGCCAGGCAGGTATTCATGTGTGCCCAAAATTCTAGGAGAAGGGATGGAGGCATGGACATCCCTCCTGGGGGATGATTTCTCATTCTCTCTCTCTCCCCCCCCCTTTCTCTCCTTCCCTCCCTTCCTCTCTTTTCAGTGAGCATGTGCACCCTATAGTAACAACAACAACAACAAAAAAAAAAAAAAAAAAAAGAAAGAAAGAAAGAAGGAAGGAAAGGAAAGTGCTGTATCAATTGCAGCTTCAGACATTCTATAGGTGTTGCCTGAGTTAGAAAATAGCCAATACGACAAAATTCATAGGGTGTGGTGGCTAGGGAATGTAATGGAGTGAGACCTGGTGCTCCCACCAAGGCCCATTACCCTGAGCTGCAAGTGTGGAGGGAGGACTTAGAAGTGAATGGGGTGACCCACTTGAAACAGCATCAAAAGAACAGCTATGACTTCACAGCCCTGGAAGAGGGCAGGAAGCAAAATGGGTCACATCTTTGAAGTCAGTACAGCTCAAATTCCACTTTCCCCTCACCTTTCCCAAAACAATTAGACCTTTTATTTCACTTATTTATACAATGCTCAATCACATGGGTCACTCCAGAGCACAAACAAGTAAGTTAATCGTTATTTTTATTATGGAAGAAAATATCCTGAAATGTTTGTTAAATAGCAATAATGTCTGACAAAAATCATCCTTCAAGGTGTGTAAGCCTCACCATCTGGTCAGATGTAGTGAGCTGCCCCCTTTGTAATGAGCTCTATTCATATTGCCACAGACCACAGAAAACTCCAAAGATTTTCTAAATGGCTTCCAGATTTCTGCTAGATGCCCATATTTAGTCCAAAGGTAAAAAATAAACAAATTGGCAGAGAAATGAGACAGACAGCTGAGAGGAAAGAAAAAACATTAACAATTGGTGAATCTATAAAATAAAGGGCATATGGGCACTCATGATATTATTCTTTCGAATTAATTTTGAGTTACATTTGCTTTAGTGTGATCATGATTTTTTCCAGATTTGCCTAAAAAATATACCCAAACATTTTCTCAAACCAGAAACAGAAAATCAGCTCTCCCCCAGATGACATCCTTGTCTATTCTGTTTAAAAAGGCATTCGAAGCCTCCTGGAAGCTTAAATTAAGGGGGTACAGTACACTGATAAGTTTTATAGTTCTTGGAAGGCATTTAAGTCAAACTCTCATCGTAGGTCTGTGATGGTCACGGCTTTCTCCACAACAGTCACATGGTTACAGCTCTGTAACAAGGAGAAAGAGAGAAAGGTAAAGGCCTGGAAAATTCTGGAAAGCCTTTTTAAAAACTTCTTACTGAAAATGCTCATTCTAGACAAGTCTGTTACTTAAGTGGCAGCTGTGGTAAAGGGTCTGGGAATCATCATTTCTGCCAATCCTGCCCATCGACTGCATCAATATATGTTGGCCCATATATCTTTTGTGTATTATTCAAAAGTGTACACATTCTGGAATCACTTTTTAATTTGCTTTGTTTTTGTTTTTTTGATGCCGAAACCTGGGGCCAAATAGAATCACTCTTTTTAATTTTTGTTTGTTTGTTTGTTTGTTTTTGGAGAGGTTTTTGCTATAGGGCGTGTGCGCTCGCCAGACAGACAGAGAGAGACAGAGAGATAGAAAGCGAGAAATCACCCCCCGGGGGGATGGCCACGCCGCAATCCCTTCTCCTCCATTCTCCTCTTGGGATCTTGGGCACGCACACACCCGTGCCCGGTGTGAGTTTAAGCCACCGGGTCAGGATGCAAACCACGGTCAATTAAGTGGGAGTCCAGCGAAATAGCCATTACGCTAACTGCTGGTCCCCCGGCGTGAGTTTTAAGCCACCGGGTCCGGGATGTGAACCGCAGTCAACTGCATGGAAGTCCAGTGATATAGCCATTACGCTAACTGCTGGTCGCAAGAAAAGAATCACTCTTAAAATATACTTTATTTAAAAGAAAGTCCTGAGTTTTGTAAAAGATGACTCTCTGTGAGGCCATCCCACATGGGAAGGTTCCAGTTCATGGCATACCCATGACTGAGTATGCTAGTCACATGCTTGCCCATGATGTAGGGCTGGGGTGGATTGCAGGGTCAAGACCCTATTGGGGTGCTGCTGTCTCTGTCTCACTCATGGATGAAAAACTAAAAATTAATTAATTAAAGAATGACTGAATTTATTGCAGTTTTTTGGGTTAGGACATCAGTCAGATAATAAAGTACACCCACTATCACATGGGGGAATGCTTGGGGCACACAAAAGGGATTTTGAGAGCTGAAAACCTGGGTGTTGTGGTCTCAGACATTTTTTATGGTTGTGCAATCTCTGTTTTAACATCTTGGTATCTAGATATTTAATACATTACAAGGCAGACCAATTTATTTTGAAAATTCTTCCTCATATTCAGCTGAAAACTTTCATCACGTAGGGTCTTGGTTTCAGTGCTGGGAGTGAGTGATATGAAACACACCCAATACCTCTTTCATACATCAACTCTTCTTTTTTAATGTGGGGCAGGGAGAGGAAGTTATATTCTGATGCACCACAATCCTTGTGCCCTAGCTCCCAGTTAGCCAAGACCAGTCACACACAAGCATGCTCAGTGTATTAAGGTTGGGCCAGGATGGAACCTGGACGTCTTGTGCACCATCACTGCTGCTGGGCCTATACACTTGTGAGGCCTGCAGGCACCTCTCAGGTACACCTCCAGTTCCTTTAATGTGTCAAAGATCTAAGTCCCTTTTCAATATTGATAATTTTTCTCTGAACCGAAAAGAAACAAGAATATCCTATGGCCAGCATGATGTAAAGTAACACTGTCATATCAGATCTGAAGGGCCAACTGAAGCAAACTAATATCATCATCATTAAACTTTTATTCACAGACTTGGAGGAAGAAACAACTTCCTAGAAAGGTCATGAAATGTTTACTATCTAAGCAAAATTTCAGAATCATATATACTTAATCTACCTATTGAAGTGGATTTTTTTTCTCTACATTCAAATCTCTTTCTGAAGTACATACAACTTAGCAACTGACATTGATGAAGAAAATAATTAACATTTATTTTTTTAAAGAATTATTTATTTAATTCCACTTGTTATTATTATTATTTTAAATTTGACCAGAGAGAGACAAAGAGAGAGAAAGGCAAAGAAAGAATGAAAGAAAGCCACCAGGTCCAGAACTTGAACCACAGTCAGCCATGTGTTAATCCAGTGCCCTTAACCACACTACCCGCTGGCCCCAGAAAATAATTAACTCTTAATAAGCCAGTTACTGCATTAGGTACTTTCTGCATATTAGTTCATTTAATACACTCAATAACTCTGTAAAAAAAAGCATTACTATTACTATTATTAGCACCCTCGTTTTATGAGAAAGCTGAGACCTAGGCAGGGTCAGAGCCTAATCAGGATACACAATCATTAAGTGGCAGAGCTAAGATATAAAGCTATCCCTATCCCACACTGCTTCCCATGTATGCCCTTAAGAAAGAGATCTGGAGAAATGGCTGACAAGGCTTGTCTTCCATGTGGGTCAGAAAGGACAGTGCACCTCATCAGCTCGGCCTCCTCCTGCCTGAGGCACAGCCCTGATATCCTCTATATAGATACGTACGCAGAAAAGAGGTGGATCCTTGCTATGTGGATGGAATCCTTTCTGGCGACAGGAGGAAATCTCCTCTAGTCCATGGTCAGTCAGTTTAAAGAATCCAGTTCTGAAATAAGAAATGACAGGTTCAGAGTCAAGCAAAGGCATCTCTCAACCCTGACACATGCAGGCACATGCATTTGCCCCCACACACATGCATACAGGTAACTGTGAGACAGCTTCCATAGGATGCTGGCTCATGGGTCTCTTCTTTGGTGAATGACTCATAGTAAGAGAATGATTCATCACTGCCACCACACTAGTTTTGCTAGAACTGATAGTAAATAACAGAATTTGGAATGGAAAACAAGTAACACAGATAATCTACTCGATTTTTGAAATTCTCTGATCCAACATCAAACTCTTAAAATTCTTACTGCTTCAAGTCAAACACTTGACATTTCTTGTGAATTTCAACCAAGTTGTTGCTTGGTGAAGCTTTTTAAAGAAGTTGGTTAGGTTTATCAGGATAAGGGGTTTAAAAGGTAGCTTTTTAGAATAGCCAATTAATACCACAATCTACATATTTTATAAAGGCAAGGTCTCGAGAATATAGCCCTCTACTTCTGAGGCTTTCCTCTTTACTGCCTCCTGAACCACGCCCTGTGTACTCACTCCTGGAACTTGGGGGAGCAAACAATGGCTATTGACTCTGGCAGCATCATCTGGTAGGAGCAGTGAGTGTGCAGGTCAACACTGGAGAGAAAGGCGGTCTGTGTGGGATGAGTCTGAGAGGAGAAAAAAAAGAGTCAGAGAACTCCCACTGAGGATATTCAGCCAAGCCTGGTCCAGTAAGGACGGCAGAGCCAAATAGTTCTCAGCAGCTGGCCACAACTGCTTTTCAGACACAAAGCCATTTGCAACCATGAGGAGCACAAGGTACTATGAACACCTGAAATTCATAGTAAGTAAGGCAGTTCCTTTCCAGCATTGTAATCTAGTACAGTTTAATACGAGTACATGAAAAGACTCATAATCCTCCTCCCTCTCTCCCTTCCTTCCTTTTTTCTTTCCCTTCTCCCTCTCTTTTTATGAGATGGAGACAATGAGAGAGAGGGGGAGAGAGATAAAATGGGCATTTTTTGGTTTGGGCTTTGGACAAGATCTCCCCATGCCACGATTCTCTCTGTCCAGCTTCCCAGTTTGCAAGAATCACAGGCATGTGCCACAGTGCCTGGAGTGTTCAGGGTGGTCCGAGAACTGAACCCAGGCCCTCCATGCAGCACCAGCATCATGCAACAGTGTCCTCTGGGTTGGGTCACCATGATTGGACCAAGACTTATAAATTCTTAAAAATTTTGCTGGGACCAGCAGATGGTATAATGGTCACATCACTGAACTCCCATATAGTTGGCCAGGGTTTGAATCCTGGACCCAGTGGCTTAAAACTCACACTGGGTGCATGTGCATGCATGCCCAAAATCCTGAGAGGAGAATAGAAAAGGGATTGCAGTGTGGCCATCCTCTCGAATTTTGAATTCTCACTTTCTGTCTCTCTCCAGTGAGCACGTGAGCCCTATAGCAAAAATCTCTCTCTCTCAAAAAAAAAAACAAAAACAAAAACAAAAATAAATTGCCATAGGACATACACCCTTGCTGGACAGAGAAAGAGAGAGAGAAAAGATGTAAGAAAACATGACTTCATGGCAGATGGCCATGCCACAATCCCTTCTTCTCCATTCTCCTCTTGGGATTTGGGGCATGCATGCACACTGTCCCAGCAGGTTTTTCAAGCTGCTGGGTCTGGGACCTGAATTGTGCATTTGGCCATGTGGAATCCAGTTGCCTTAACCTCCATGCCACTGGCTGGCCTGAGACTCCTAATTTCTTTCTTTCTTTTTTTTTTTCTTTTTTTTTTTTTTTTTTTTTTTTTTTTTTTTTGTTATGAGACATGTACACTCAACAGAGACACAGAGAGGGATAGAAAGTGAGAAATCATCCCCCAGGGGGATGGCCAGACCACAATCCTCTCTTCCATTCTCCTCTCGGGATTCTGGGCATGCACACACATGTGCCTGGCCTGAGTTTCAAGCTACTGGGTCCAGGACTCAAACACTAGTCGACCATGTGGGAGTTCAGTGATGTAACCACTAGACCCCAAGACTCCTAATTTCTAATCAACCATCAAGATTTATTTGGCTCCTTGTAGGCTTCCTTTACACCACAGCAAGTCACCCAGTCTGGAACAGATGGTACATGCTGCCCAATATCTTGAGCGCATGTGCCCTATAGCAAAAACCTCTCAAAAAAAAAAAAAAAATCTCAACATGGTGGAAGTCAAGGACTCTATGAATCACAATTAGAAGAGGATTCTTCTTTCTGAGAGAAGTGTTGAAAGGTCAGGCATGAGCCTGGGGCTCTATAGGCAAAAGTTGTCCTATGGTTAGAGCAGTATCCAGGGAAGATACGGGAGGTGGGGCTGCTCAGATTTTGGTGGCTAGCTAAGTCATGCAAAAGAGCCTGTCTGGATTGGAGGCAGGATGTAGAAATCTGAGGGTAATCAATTAAAGTACCATCTAAACATACATTTTGTTTATTTCATTTCTTTCTAACTATTTATTTTGTGTTAAGTTTTTTCTTTTTTGGGGGAGAGGTTTTTGGTATAGGGCATGTGCACTTGCCAGAAAGACAGACAGAGACAGAGACAGAAAGCGAGAAATCACCCCCTGGGGGGATGGCCACACCACAATCCCTTCTCCTCTGTTCTCCTCTCGGGATCTTGGGCACGCATGCACACGCGCCCAGCGTAAGTTTAAGCCACTGGGTCCGGGACTCGAACTGCAGTCAACTACATGAGAGTCCAGTGACATAGCCATTACGCCAACTGCTGGTCCTACCTCCCTATAACTTCTTAAACCCTTATAATCCCTTCCTAATCCCACCTAAAACCCACTACATTGAGGCCCTCAATGACTTCACCATTCATGCGGGTTTGTCCAAGTCTTCATTCTGGAGCTCTCTGCCACATGAGACATAGTTAACATTCTAAAATACTGCCAGAGGGTGCATGTTCTTACCAGAGAGAGAGAGAGAAAGGAGGAAGGACATGGAGAAAGCACCTCCATTACAGCATAGTAATGCTGCAATACCTTCTCTAATATCTCTCTACTGTTGGGATTTTGAGCATGCATGCACATGCACCGGCATACTTTTCAAGCTGTTGGGTCCAGGATTCAAACTATGTGGTCAGTCGCGTAAGATCTGGCTCCCTTAACCCTAGGCCATGTGGTCAGCCCTTGAAACTCCTTCTTAAAGCTCTTCATTCTGTGGGTTCTCTGCCTTAATATTGCCCTTGCCTTTCTTATACATCTTTGTTTCATTACTACCTTCTATGTTCCCCTAGTAGTAGCATAAAGTTATCAGTGATCTTTCTTGCTCTTAGCCCTCCCCCACTTCCAAGGCTTTCAAGGCAGCTCTCTGTAGAGGACTCCCAGATCTCCTTCTTGCCTTGACCTTGCTCCCAAGTTTAAGCTTCACATTTCCAACTGTCTGCTCACTACCTGCAAGAATAGGATGTCTCACCATTACTTCAACATGTTTAGAACTGAACCCCACTTCTAAAGTGAGTTTTCCTTCTAGATACCCAATTTCTGCTTATGACATGACTCAGGTCTGAAATCTGAGTCATCACTGACTCTTACTTACCATCCTCTATTACTCAGCTCCAAATGCCCTGAAATCCTGCATGCGTCCCTTCCTTCCCAAACACACTGCCATCACTCTAGCTCTTATCAGTGATAGATTTTTATCACCCCACTAACCTTTTAAATGACTGCCCTCAATCAACCTACTTAAAAATGCCTTTTGTCAAAAATCGTCTAAAGTATGACTTTGATCACACCACTGCTCTGCTCAAAAGCTGTTAAGAATTCTCCACTTACTGGGGCCGGCAGGAGGCGTGGTGGTAAAGGTGCCAGACTCCCACATGGCCAGTCAAGGTTCAAGTCTTGGACCTAGTGGCTTGTTCTCTCACTTTCTCTCTCCTTTTCTCGCCAAATTAAACAATAATAACAAAAATAAAATAAAACAAATAATTTTTTAAAAAAACTTCTCCACTTACTGAAAAGCAGAACTACTCTGCCTGGTACCCAAGCGCCTCCTGAACATGGCTCAAACCATAAATCACTCAATGCTCCGGGAACACAGGTTGCCTATTCCCAATGCTGTCTCCTCGGAACTTCCCTGAGGCCATCTTATCAACCTTCTAGTAAATCATACCAGGTATGGTCCCATCTTCCTCTGTATCCCCACTGCCCTGTTGGCAACTCTTGCAGCACATCCTTAGCACATTCTGTCTCATATAAAAAGTTAATAATTGTCTGTTTGTTTAATTTCCTTTGTGAGACTAAAGTATCTTACTCAAATTTGTTTCCCTTGGCAGATACAAAATAAGTTTTCCTTGTCTCTTTTCTCTTTTCCATTGCCAGAACGTGTGTGCTCAAGATACATACAAAGTACCCTCCAGCGGAGTATGTCATGCCACGGTTCTTTTTTCCTCCATTTCTCCATCCTGTCAGGATTTTATGTACTCACTCGCACATGCCCAGCATGTTTTTCAAGCCACTGAAGCCAGGATTCAAACTGCAGTCAGCCATGTGGAATCTGGCTCCCAATATACAGCATTTAACACTACGCTGTGGGGTTGGCCCAGGAAACAAGTTTTCTGTTCTCTATCTGTTACAGTTTGGGGGGGAGGGGGCATACAAGAGTAGTCAAAGCAATAAATATTTTGTAGTTTAACTTAAGGAAGGATGGAAGGCACATGCAACTGCCTCACAGGTCAGTACTTCCCAAATTCTGATACACAAGTATGTGTAATCTTCCTTAATCTAGATATAAATCAGTTTATTTTTCTGTAAGTTTCACACATCATGAAAATCTGCTTAGATTGTGAGAGTAAGGAGTTGAAAAGGAATATAAAGAAAAGCCAAGAAATAATCTTTAGGATAGGAACTATATTTTACCTGAGTATTACCAGAAGACTACACAGGAAATGTAGGTACTTGACAGCTGTGTGTATTGGTGGCCCTTTTGGCTTCCATAAGGGTATATGCTGCTTTAAGAAAAACCAACTGTAGAGGGCCAGCAGTAGTGTAGTGGCTAAGGTGCTGGACTCCCACATGGCTGACCTCAGTTCAAGCCCTGGATCCAGTGGCTTGAAAATCATACCAGGCACATGTATATGCCCAAAATCCAAAGAGGAAAATGGAGAAGAAGGGATTGCGGCACTGCTTTGGTGATTTCTTGCTTTCCTTCTCTCTGTCTCTCTGGTGAGCACATGCACCCTATGACAAAAGCCTAAAACAAAAAAAGAAGACCAAATGTGGCCAGCCATGGTGGTACGCAGCAATGCAATGCTCAGCAATGCGGAGGCCATACTGGAAGGTACCAAGTTCATATCCTGAGGTCTCCCTGTGCACACTGGGCCTGCACACATGCCCATGATCCTACCAGAACTAGGGGTAGGATTACAACATAAGAACCCTGCTAGGGGTACCTGTCTATTTTTCTCTCTGTCTCTCTCTTTCATGAAAGAAAGAAACTTTTTTTTAAAGATTTTATTTTCTAGGGGGAAAGATTATCTGCTTATTTATTTTAATTTGACCAGAGAGGGACAGAAAGAGAGAGGAAGCAAGCTGCCAGGTCTGGGACTTGAACTGCGGTTGGCCATGTGGGAGTCCAGTGCCCTTAGCCACCATGCCACCTGCCAGCCCCAGAAAGAAAAAAACTTAATAAAAAAAAAAAAAAAGAAAGAAAAGACCAAATATGAGCATCTAGATTAACTTCCTTGACTTATTTTTTGATTTGTATATCTTTTAGGGATATCATTTTATAAAGTAGGCATAATCTCCATGATCAATGTTCACATGTATTTGAGGCTAGCACCTCATCACCATTCACACTCACAGAGAAACTGGAATATTAAGGAAACTAATAAACTTTTTTTAAAAAATATTTATTTTATTTTATTTATTCATTTATTTTATAGTTTGATCAGGGAGAGACAGAGGGTGAGAGTGAGAGAGAGAGGAAGTGAGAAAGCAAGCCACCAGATTCAGGACTCGAACCTTGGTCGGCCATGTGGGAGTGTCCAGCGCCTTAACCACCACGCCACCTGGTGATCCCAGGAAACTAATATACTTTTATTTAAAAAAAGTAAAAGTTAGAAAACTAAGAAGCCCTAAGTATGTAGTTCTCAGAAAATGTATACTGGAATGCAAAGTATGCCAAGGACTGCATCCTAAGGAGGGAAAAGGCAATAAATAATCTGGATGTAATTTACCAAATTCAAAGACAGAAACAAGCAGTATTTCTAACATCATGAGAGAAGAGAAGACAAACCCTCAGAAAGCTCAGTTTGCTTACATGAATCCAGCCCAGTGTGATGAGACCCTGCTGATCCTGAATGAGGAAGAGTTCTTCTTCATTCTCTGTGTTGCAATAATCAGACCCAGCACTTTGCTTGGGGATGAGAACATGGGTGATGGTAAATTCATTCCTCATCTGCCAAAGGAGAAAACAGCCTGTCACAATTCCCTGCCACCCAGGCAACCCCACTCTGCCATACCAGTGGGAAGTGAAGCATCTGCACAAGTAAAGGCCCTTTTCGCCCCAGCATGAGCCTCCTTCCAGCTCTCCGAGCCCCTGCGAGCCCCTGCATGCACACGGCCTGGGGTGCTCTGCAAAGTAACAGATGCTGAGAGCAGCCCCAGAACTCCTCTAATGCACCACAGCCTGGCGGGAATTTTCCGCTGTCGCCGGTCTACTCGTGGTTCTTGAGAGCACTCTGGGTAAAGTGCCACTTCTCTTCCTTTGCTCATATCTGCGGTAGTTTCCCTTCCACTGCTTCCTTAAGTCCTTCTCATCATTTAAGGTTCAGGTTAAATCTATTCCACTTCATTCATGTATTCATTCAGTGGTTAGTGATGGGTTCTTTAAGGCCTCCATTCGTAGTCTTTCTTCCCTTAGAATTCCTAGTCTCAGATCGTATACTCTTCAGCATGCTATTTATCTTTCGGTGCATCCTTCCAAAGTGACTGGGCACTTTTTGTGGACTTATACACTGTGCCTTACATATTTTATATTCCTGGGTCTCACCATAAAGTAAGTGTTCCAGAAAATGATATAGCGGCAATGACTAGATCTTCCTACCTAGTTTAGAATTAGGTATTTCTTACTCCTGACACTAAGGCAATCAGCTTAACTCAAGAAACTCTTAAAATCAATCAATACAGGGTCACCGAACTCAGTGACTCAACAACACACAGTGTAGTCCATGGTTCCTTTGGCAGAGGGGTCAGTGCAAAGAGTAACTGATACCAGATATCTTCTCTGAAAGTAACAGGAGGCCAAGGGGCAAGAAATGACTTTGGCTCAGGTAAGTTTGTTTTTACCAGTTTTCCACAGAGAATTCCACATGTCTCTACACCCCGGGCAGTGTTGGCACTGGCTAACTGGAGGAATTGTGGGCACAGCCTCCCAGGCACCACCACATGGCGCAATCCATCAATTGTAGGAACTGTAATGGAGAAAGGGGAAAAGTCTGAGACCTCATGGCTGGTAGCCTTGGGAGAGCAATACAAAATCACTGGGATCCCCCCAACTTCAGGCAGTAAAATAAAAAATGTTGGAAACACATTGCTTCAGGGAAAAAAAAATTAGTAAACTGTAATTATTCAAGTTAAGAGTAAACTACTAGTGCTTTTAATGAGAGGGGCCAGCCTCATAGCCTACTGATTGAGAGATCCAGGTCCCACATGAGCCCTGTGGCTTGAAAAACAAGCTAGGTGCATGTAAGTGCATATCCCGAATCCCTACTGGATGGAGAAACTAAGAAAGGACTGCAATGTGACTACACTCTACTGTGGGGCGGGGGTAGTACTTCGCCTTATTCCCCTGTCTCTCCCTGGTGAACACACATGCCCTCAATTTTAAAAAGTTCTTTTTTTTTTTTTTTTTAGAGGTTTTTGCTATAGGGCACGTGCGCGCGCCAGACAGACAGAGAGAAGAGAGACAGAAAGCAAGAAATCAACCCCCAGGGGGGATGGTCGCACCGCAATCCCTTCTCCTCCATTCTCCTCTCAGGATCTTGGGCATGCACGCACAAGTGCCCAGCGTGAGTTTAAGCCACCGGGTCCAGGACACGAACTGCGGGAGTCCAGCGACATAGCCATTATGCTAACTGCTGGTCCCCAAGAAAAAAGTTCTTGAGATAGTTAGGAAATCTCTGTCAGAATCTAATACAAGGAGAAAAATTTAACCTCATTCAACTGAACATTTTTTTTCCCTGTACGGCACATGCACTTGCAGAAAGAGAGAGAGACAGAAGACAGAGGGAAAGTAAAAAATCACCCCCTCATGGGTACAGCCATGACGCAGTCCTTTCTCCTCCATTCTCCTCTCAAGATTTTGAGCATGGGGACCAGCAGATGGCATAATGGTTACACAGCTAAACTCCCACATGGCCGACCAGTTTGAGTCCTGGACCCGGTGGCTTCAAATGCACGCTGAGTGCATGTGGATGTGTGCCCAAAATCCTCAGAGGAGACTGGAGGAGAAGGGATTACAGCGTGGCCATCCTCTTGGGTGGTGGTGGTTGGGGTGTTATTTCTCGCGTTCTGTCTGTCTGTCTCTCTCTCTAGTAAGCGCACGTACCCCACAGCAAAAAAATCTCTCCTCATAACTCTCTCAAATTGTGGAGTCAGCTATGTGAAATCCAGTGCCTTACCCTTCATGCCATCTGCTGGCCCTATTTTAATTTTAAAACTCCTTTTTATCTTGGATGATATCAGAGAGGGTGACTTTTAAGTAAATACACAAGCATACAGTGCTGATAAAGGAAAACAATTTAGTTATTTACTTGTGAACTTGTGTATCTTAGAAGTTACCATCCCAATAAAATAACAAAAACTATAGTATGTTTCCTCAAAAGAGGCATGAACAAAGCAGCCCACGAAACTTCCTTCAGGATGCCAAGAACGGACCCAGTTCCTGAATGCCACAGAGAAACCGTATGAGAAAGCCAGCAAGCCACAGTTAGGAGGCATCTTCCACAGCCAGATTTTCATATTTTAAAAAAGGGAGGGGGCAGCCTGTGGTCTGCTGATTAAGGTGGCTGGATCCCACCTGGTCAACCATGTGGTTTGAGCCCCAGAACTGGTAGCTCAAGAAACACTCAGGGCACATGTACGTGTTGGCCCAAAATCCTAAAAATAGAGAGAAATGGAGAAAGCATTGTGACATGTGACATGGCTATACTACATCTGGGATGTTTTCTCACTTTCTCTCTCTCTGTTTTTCTCTCTTGCTCTCTCTGGTGAGCACATGCACCCTCTGACGGTTTTGTTTGTTTGTTTGTTTTTAAGGGAAAAGGATGTTCTACACATTCAATAGCAAGATCTGAGTAGCCAAAGCAACAACAAAGTTGGACAAGAGACACAGTCACACAGCAGTCTGATAATGGTATCTAAAGATTATGAGTTAAGGTCTGGCATAGTCCTCTCCTTTCAATTCAAGAATTATTAACCAAGTACATACCAAGTAGACCCTGTGCTCAGCCCACAGGGACCATAAACACAAATAAGATTCAAGCCCTAACCTGTAACAAGTTAAAGTGTGGTTAATGACAAATGCTTATACTATCAGGTAAAAGATCTAAATTGCATTTGAGATAAAAAGAGCTCTGGGAGTTTTAAGGAGAAAAGAACTAACTAATTGGATTGAAGGGAGAGGAATCTAGAAAACCTTCAAGGAAAGCAGAGAAGTCAAAGACAGAAAGGAGATTCTAGGTAGAAGGCAAAAGTTAACAAACCTCTTCAGGTAAGATAGTCCAGGGAATGTTCTGGTAACAGGATAGTCCAATTTCACCAGAGCATAGAATACGGGCGAAGGAACAGTAGTGGGAGATAAGCCTGCCAAGTAAATGGGGAGAAGCTCTAAAGGCCAAGCCTCAGAGTCCAGCCCTTTTTGCCCAATTTTATATTTACCATAAAAGGATCTTCTGCAAAAGCTGACTTCTCTAAATGACTATTTGAAAGTCAATCCCTAACCTCTCAGATTTATTCTAATGATCAAGGTCTACTCATCATTTTGTCCCTATTGCTCTTTTTCTCAGATCTTCAATCACTGGTGAGAAAAGACTGTCAATAATTTTTATGGTTAGACTGAGTTACCACTGACTATATACAATGTCTACGTTGACTGAGCTCCTTAAACATTATAAATGCTTTCAGGATAAGCACAGGATACAGCCATACAGCCATGGTTTTTTTAAAAGTCAGTTGTTGAATAGTACAGTGGTATTATAAATTCAAATTTGTTTTTACAAAAGGCCAATAGTGGTCTCTAATTTACTAACCATTTCAAATCTCTGTATTACCCTTAAAAGTTGAGGAAAGCAGGGACCAGCAGATGACATAATGGTTACATTGTTGTACTCCCATGTAGTCAACTGCTGTTCAAGTCCTGGACCTGGCAGCTTGAAACTCATGCCAGGCATGTGCACATGCATGCCCAAAATTTGGAGAGGAGAAGGAAGGAGAAGGGATTGAGGTGTGGCCATATCCCTCCCCCACTCCGGGGTGGGTGATTTCTCGCTTTCTG